TTAATTTATTCAATTAAATTGCAGGTTTACTTTGGATTTTACATTAAATGGTTTGCTTTTTTTCAGATGTTATTGGGTTGTTGTCAGTGGTAATTAAGCGAAAGGAAGTGACAAAAAATGGTTCTCCATTGAATATGATTTCATTTGAACTTGATGATTTAAGGTATTTTTCATTTGAATATTTTTATTTTTTTATTAATTTCTCATTATATTTTTTTTACTTTATTTATTTTTCTTCTTTGTTTCAAACAGTGGTAATAAGTTTCGTTGCACTCTTTGGGAAAATTTTGCTGTTGAGATGTGTTCAGTTATTGATAAAAGCTGCAATGAATTTGTTATTTTCGTCATTCAATTTGCAAAGATGAAATCATGGAGAGGTTTTACTTTACATTTTTAATTATTAATTTTAGTATTTTTTTTAGATTTTATTTTGAAAGTTTTATATAATTTTTTTGGTGGTTTATTTAAGTGTGATGAGGATTTCCAACACCATATTCAATACTAGGATCTTTATAAATAATTATGAGATAGGATCTTTTCTATATGAAGAATTGAATAAGTATTTATCATGTCTTATTGATGAGCAAAGAAAGGTTTATGATACTATAATACAAGCAGTTAATAAGAATAAAGAAGGTGTTTTCTTTCTATATGGTTTTGGAGGCACTGAGAAAACATTTGTTTGGAAAACTTTATCAGCATTTTTTGGATCAAAGGGACAGATTGTTCTTAATGTTGCTTCAAGTGGTATTGCTGCAGAATTACTCCCTGGAGGAAGAACAGCACATTCTAGATTTGCCATACCGATAGACATAAATGAGGATTCCACTTACAACATTAAAAAAGGGACTCCTTTGGTTGAGTTGCTGTCCAAGACCAAATTAATTATATGGGGTGAGGCTCCAATGTCACATAAGTTCTGTTTTGAATCATTAGACAAATCCTTGAGAGATGTCCTCAAAGATGACAATAATGACGTTTCAAAAAATCCTTTTGGAGGGATAATTATTGTTCTTGGAGGTGACTTCAGACAGATTTTACCAGTAGTTCCTTATGGCGGTAGACAAGAAATTGTTCATGCAACAATCAACTCTTCCTATCTGTGAGACTATTGTCAGGTTTTAACTCTTACAAAGAATTTTAGGTTACAAATAGTCTCATCTAACCAAAATTTGGTGGAGTTAAGGGATTTCTCTGATTGGTTATTGAAAGTTGGAGATGGAGAGATTGGAGATGATGTTGATGGTGAGTCAATTATTGAGATTCCAGAAGAAATGTTGATCGAGGATGATGTTAATGGACTTGCTCAACTTGTGGATTTTGTATATCCA